GCCAAGTTATCAACCTCTGAAAAAAATCTCAGTTCATACATGCTCAGTAGCCACTTCTTACAGTTTTATTGCTAAATTTGCCAAAGATTCTGTCTTCACTGAGCATGCTCCATCCCCTCGCAGCTCCCAGTGCTGACCAGACTGTATGTACTATCCTCACAGAGTGACAGCACATGCTCCAGCCCAGGGCTGCAGGGGCAAAGTCAGACTTTCTCTGAAATTGTTGCTTTAGGCTGAGGTGAGGCCATGCACTTGACACTGAGGCCTTGGCTACACTTGCAGATGTACAGCACTGTGAGTTAAACCTGACTTTGTACAGCTGAGTAGGGAAAGCGCTGCAGTCTGTCCACACTGACAGCTGCCCAGCGCACTGTCATGGCCACATTTGCAGCATTTGCTGCGCCATTGGGAGCGGTGCATTATGGGCAGCTATCCCACAGACCACCTCTTCCCATTCTGGCGCCGTGGGTTGTGGGAAGGGGGCGTGGGTGCGGGGCATTCTGGGTCCTGTCCCAACGCCCTGTGAAGCATCGCTTCGCATCCCAGAAATCACTTTGTTTCCGTCCACCTTTGGCGCCATCTTTCAACAGTTTCTGTGCAGCGCGATCTGTCTGCGGGAAATGGAGCCCGAACTGCTGAGGCGTATGCTGACTTATCTCGCCAGCACGTCACGTTTGGCTGTCGAACTATTCCTTAAGATCCAAAGTGACAGTGAGAGTGAGGAGTCCGACGATGCTATCGAGCCGCGTAACGCGTATGACACGAAATTCCTTGTGGCATTCACGGACATGCTCAGCACCGTGGAACACCGCTTTGGGGCTCGGGAAACAAGCACCGAGTGGTGGGATCACATTGTCATGGAAGTCTGGGATGACGAGCAGTGGCTGCAGAACTTTCGGATGAGAAAAGCCACTTTCATGGGACTGTGTGAGGAGCTCGCCCCCACCCTGCGGCACAAGGACACGAGATTGAAAGCTGCCCTGCCAGTGGAGAAGCGGGTGGCTATTGCAATCTGGAAGCTGGCAACTCCAGACAGCTACTGGTCAGTCGCAAACCAGTTTGGAGAGGGAAAGTCGACTGTTGGAATCATGTTGATGCAAGTTTGCAGGGCCATTAATCGCATCCTACTCAGAAGAACCGTGACTCTGGGTAACATGCAGGAAATAGTGGATGGCTTTGCACAAATGGAGTTCCCTAATTGTGGAGGGGCGATAGATGGGACGCACATTCCTATTCTGGCACCACCCCACCTAGGATCCAAGTATGTTAATCGGAAGGGGTATTTCTCTATGGTTCTCCAGGTGCTTGTGGATCACCGTGGGCGTTTCATTGACATTAACACAGGCTGGCCCGGAAAGGTGCATGACGCACGCATCTTTCGGAACACTTGGCTGTTCAGGAAGATGCAGGCCGGGACTTTTTTCCCAGAGTGGAAGATCACAGTAGGGGAAGTCGAAATTCCCATTGTGATCCTTGGAGATCCCGCTTACCTGTTAATGCCGTGACTCATGAAACCCTACACAGGGAGCCTTGATAGCAGCAAGGAACGGTTCAACTACAGGCTGAGCCGGTGCCGAATGACTGTGGAGTGTGCCTTTGGCCGTTTAAAGGGCTGCTGGTGATCTCTGTATGGGAAGCTGGACTTGGCCGAAAACAGCATCCCCGCAGTTATATCGCGTGCTGTGTCCTCCATAATATTTGTGAAGGGAAGGGTGAAAGCTTCACTCAGGCATGGACCTCCAAGGTTGAACACCTGGCGGCTGAATTTGCACAGCCAGAGAGCAGGGTTATTACAGGGGCCCAGCCCAGAGCCGCAAGGATTAGGGATGCCTTGAGGGAGCAATTTGAGGCTGAAAACCAGCAGTGATATCTGGTGCCCTGCACAGGAGTGAAGTGCAGTAGTTCCAATCTTTAGGAATCAGTGTTTGCTAAGCAGACAAGCAGACTTGCAGTGTCTCTTTATTTCCTGGGCTAAGGAGTCTTTTACTTTATGCAATAATAAAGAATGTTTTCAAAGCCAAAAAATCCATTTATTGAAAAGAAACAAGGGGGTGGAGTGGGGAATGGTACAATCACAGATTCGCGTATGTCCTGTCTGGTGTGCTGTGCACTGAGTGCTGCACTTCAGGATAGCTATACTGCATGGTGATGGGTGTTGAGTGCAGAGGGTAAGGGTCATGGTTTTCAGGGCTGGGTGGTGAAGATACTGGTGTTGGAGGCAGCTGGTGGTGTGAAGAATACGGAAGTTGGGGAAAGTGGGTTGGAGGTGACAGTGGGGCACAACGGAAAGAGTTTTGGGACAAAGGCTGTCGGGGAGGGGGGGCGTTTGCGCTTGTGGTACTGCTCCTTCTGCATGGCTACGAGCTCCGGGATAGCGTCTGCTTGGCGCTCCAGGATGCTTATGAGTCGATACGTGTTTTGCTGCCGGTGCTCCGTGCTTTGCCGCCGGTGCGCTGCGTTTTTCTGGCGGATCCTGCTTTCTCTCTCCCTCCAGTTCTGTGCTTTCTCATTCTCTTTAATAGATTGCCACATCACTTCTTGCAGCATGTCTTCTTTGCTTTTTCGCAGTCTCTTCCGGAGTCTTTGCAGTCTCTGAGC